TGGTTAATGCAGACACAAGGCCTGGGCTCGGGCTCCGTGGGACCAGGGCTGTGGGTTGTGATGGGGACTGAGGAGGTGGCAGAGGATGTGACTAGTGGATGAAGGCCGGAGAAAGAGCTGGAGGAAGAACAGGCAGGGGAGGCTTCGTCTCCCGTATATCACATCTTAAAATGAAAAACCAAATCAGGAGAATTAATCACAAATCATCACATCTCCTGTTATTTGCTTTTCTCACCATTTCTTCTTACTCCCTCCTTGCGCCTCTGCATGCCGTCTTTTCCAAACCCTTTTCAATGGAACTTCCGAAACAACCAATTTCTATGGCGGCAAATCACTGTTAAAATTTGAGAGCGCAAATCAGGTTGATGCGCGCGCGTAAATCAAACATCCCCGAGCAAATCTCCGTCTCGCGCAAGCAAAAGTTCATCTCGCGCAAAATATTTGCTCGCTCGCGGAGCATGAACTTCCTCGCTCGCGAGGTTAGTCTCTGTTCGCGCTCGAAGGTGTTTTCTACGCACTCGCTGTTTTTCTTTTTGACAGTAAGGGGGCGGAGCCAGTCACCATGGTCTCTACACCTGATTGGTTACAAACCCTGTCTTTGGATTGCTGGAGTGATGCATTCACACAACTATAGAAGCCCATTTCCACAATACAGAAAGAAGATAGAAAGTCGAAATTATGAGATAAAACGCTGTCAAAAAACAAACGACCCCCCTTCGGTAATCGTAGTGAACCGTAGATGACAACTAGCTACAACCATCATTTACCATCATTACCGGCACATTAAGAGCAATGCGTCCAGCTCGCAGACCGGTCCGTATTTGTAAAATACCGGAAAAAAAGTCTGAATCTGTGAATGTCTTGCCAACTTTCAATACAGATCGACTTTTTGAAAAAAATAAATAATGAGGTTGTAGTGAATGTGATATACAAGATATGCGCAGGCTCCTCCATACTTCGGTAAAGTTGGCAAGACATTCATATTCAGACTGACGGATCTACTCACTGTTAATCACTCACTCAGTCTGTCTGTCTATTTCTCCTCCTCTCTCTACCCCCCCCCCCCTTCCTCACCCTCCCTCTCTCTATCTCCCCCCCTCCACCCCACGCAATCCAATAATTTCAAAACAAAAGCCCCATGGAAGGACTTTTTACTGTAATGTTTGTGAGGAGGCCTCAATGATTATCTGTACATTAACCATGAAGCTCAGAATGAAGCGGTTTCGTTGAAATACGTATTGCTCTTTCAAATACTACTACAACCACTATATTACTAGTACTTCTAGTACTACAACTGATACTTCTACCATACTACTAGAATTTCTACTGCTATTAATACTACAACTACTACTAATGTTATTACAAATACTATGGCTAATAGTATTAGTATTCTAGCTGTTTCTACTGCTATTGATACTAAACCGACTTCTACTGCTAGTACTACTAATACCACAATTACAACTATAACTAATACAACTACTAATATTACTACAAACAATTTAAAACCTCTTTTTATTCATCTTAGGTTTTGTTATTTCTGTATTTTTTAATTCATTTAAGCTCCTGCAACTTATGTTTTTTTAGAAATTGTATTGAAATTTAGCTTCACATTTCTGTATTTTCAGCAGTTCTTTCAAATAATTCCAGCTTTTCTTAAGCCTGTATTAACAGCAATGTTTTAATATTCATTTCTGTATTTTTTTGCAATTTCTCAAATTTGTTTCAGCTGTTTTCAGCAAATATATTAAAATTAATTTTAGCTTCTCCCATTTCTGTCGCCGTATTTCTCGCGACCAGAAGCCAATGCGGCGTCTATGTATATTATGTCTATGGTTAAAACCATATACATAGACGCCGCATTGGCTTCTGGTCGCGAGAAATACGGCCGCCATCTTGGAGCGGTCGTGCTCGTAGTTGCGTAGCAGCAGAAGATGCAGGAGGCCACAGCACTGTGCTGCTTATTTCTGCGCTAATCGGCGGACCATCGCCAGCAGGGCTCGGGGGATAACCTTTCACAAGTAAGATTTAATATTACCGTCCTATTTGTTGTGTTTTGAAAAGAATATTACCAGAGAGTAGAGAAGGAGCAAGTATCTTACTGTAGTGAAATCGCAGTCAGCTAGCTTGGCTATGTTTACTTCCCCGGCTGTTTTTCACATGATTATGAACTGAGACTTGATAAGTTATATTCCATAACACTTAGATTCAAACGGACACAATAATGTTATTGTAGAAATATAACCTATTACTGGTATAACATTGGCCACACAACTTTCTTGTCATGTGGAATTAACGCATCTTAAAGTAGCTTGCTATGTAGTGAACTAGCTGCTGTGTTTGTGATACTTAGCTTGCTGCATTTCACTGTGTAGTAGCTTTTGTGTAGTGAAGCTTTATTCATGGCAGAGTAACTGATAGCTTAGCTGAGTTCAATGTGAAAGCAACTTGCCCAACACACTGTATTCTTCACATGTAATTCAACAAAAGTAAGATACCTCTCGTATCAAGAACTACCACCTTCTAGCCCTGAAAAACCACGGCGGCCTAGTAATTCCATCACAAGGCACAGTAAAGGTTTGATTTATCTTTTTTTTTTTATATTTTAATCTTTGTATATTACAGTTGCTTTGTTTTGTCTGTTATGTAAAGGGTCTTTGAGCACTGTGTAAAGTGCTATATAAATATGTGTTATTTTTTAATTATTATTATAAGGTGCTGAGAGCTGCAGAGAGGGTGATCCGCCGAGCTTCAACAACACAAGCTCCTAAGGTGTCGACAGTCACACACATCGTCCGAGAGGAGATTGGAACGGATGATGTTTTTTTGCTTGGGGAACACATTGAAGAGACACAGTTTGGCATCGACAACCATCATTCAGACTTGTTGTCATTGGTTGTGTCTGTGTTTCTCAAGCTAAGGCTGCACCACATTGCCAAACTCACTCAGTGTGTGTGATAGTTAGTTAGTTAGACCCTCTTTGGTGCAAACACCCGGCGTTCTGTTGAAGTTATTTGTGTGTGCTTGCAAATATTCAATTCATTTTATTTCTAATTCTATATTGGTTTTTAACGTATTAAATGTCTGACTTTACTACTACTATCTGTTTCTGCTTCTCTATCAAAATTATAGTAGTAGTATGATTTGCAAAATACCTATCATAGTCTACATCACATCATATATCAGAATATAACATTACTGTTAAGTCCACAATGAATATTAAAACACGCCGAACTATGTGCCCTGTGTCATAGCTGCATGTATGACCTTTGCAGCAAAAACAACACGTGAAAATCAGTTGGGTATTCAGTGAGGTATGATTAATTGAATGCGCTCACAGCTGATTGCACCTGCAAACAGATTACACCACATATGTCAGAGTCAAGGCCCGCGGGCCACATCCGGCCCGCGAGAAGGTTTTTTACGGCCCCTGGGATGATCTTGATTTATTATTAGAACCGGCCCGCAGACCGCAGCAAGCCGGCAGCCCGCAGATCTTTTACACGCACCAATACTACATTTCCCACAATGCAACGGTGACGCACCGAGCAGTAGGCTGCTTCATTTCAATATTTATTGGCACAGCAGTTGTCAGCATCACAGTAAAATTAACTTTCAGATACCCATCAAAAATGGCAAAACGGAAGGTGGACACTGAGAACCGGGGGTTTCAAACAAGGTGGGAGTCGGAGTATTTGTTCACGGAGGTAGCTGGAAAACCTGTGTGTCTTCTGTGTGGAGAAAGTGTGGCGGTACTGAAAGAGTATAATCTGCGTTCCCGAGCGCACAGTTGGCTGATAAAATAGGTATGCTTGCCGCTGACTTTCGACGCCGATTTGCTGACTTTGAAGCACAAAAAAGCAGGTTGGAACTGCTCGGTAACCCATTTGCTGTTGACGTGGAAAGCTCACCACCAAACCTCCAAATGGAGTTGATTGACCTCCAATGCAATGATGCACTGAGGGCAAAATATGCGGCAGTGGGTGCTGCGGAGTTTGCCCGTTCCTCCCCGACACAATGCCCCAGCTGCGCATCCAGGCTGCTCAAACGTTGTCTATGTTTGGCAGCACATACCTGTGTGAACAACTGTTTTCTTTGATGAACTTGAACAAAACATCACACAGAAGTCGACTTACTGCTGAACACCTCCACTCAATTCTGAGGATTTCCTCAGCTCAGAGCCTTACCCCGAACATTGATGAACTTGTGGAAAAGATGGGACACCACCAAGTATCACCCTCAACCTCAAACAAGTGAACATTACTGTGCAATCACATATTTAGAGTTTTTACTCAGTTCAAGTTTAAAAGTTAAAGTTTAATATTTGTTTTCACTGCATGTTACTTCTCCTTAAACAAAGTGTTGTTTTTGATTAATAGATTTTTGCACTTTATTTTATTGTATTTCAATCCAATTATATTTTAAAAATATTTCAGTTGAGTGGATGATAGAAAATTGCTATTATTGTTTTTTTCTTTGAAGTAAATTTAGCCCACTTTTGCTAAAATAGAAAATATAGGCTACTGATGGTGCCTTGAATACCGGTTTCTTTCATTTAATGTTCATGTTATGGGGATTTTTATATAAAGGAAATTTGTCTTTTGTGTCTGTTGAAAATTAAAGATTACTGACAGAGCCATAAGAAAATATTGCTTTATTTATCTGATCATATTGGAATATATTTGTTAGGTTTTCAGTAGGTTCAATTAGGTTCACTAGACTATATGCGTCATTTAAAAATTTTTCAATGAACATTCGAACAGTCCGGCCCTCGGCTTGTAGCTAAATTTTTTATTTGGCCCTCCGTCCATTTGACTTTGACACCCCTGGATTACACTGAGCAGAGCGGAGGACCGTTCCAAGATGGCGGCTGCATTTCTCGTCAGTGCCAATAGGCGGTAGCGGCCAATGCGGCGTCTATGTATATTATGTCTATGGTTAAAACAGCCAGAGAATATTAAGGGGCGGGACAATACAGCTGGCGGCGGTGGGGGGCGGGGCTACGACGGGGGTAAGCCTTCACTCGACCTGCGCTAAAGGAATCATTAAGCGTTTAATTGGTCTTTGTTTGGGAGGATTGCCAGCCCCAAGTCTTCCTATTTGAAAACCAAAGAACAAAATGTATGACAGGTACGGTAGTTCCCTCAAATACCTTAGTGTCTCGTTAAGCCAGAGGTGGCTCACGGTCTGAAGACGTCTGTGGAACCGCGTAGCGTTGTTAGCTAACTGTTAGCTAAGCCTTCCATCTTCTTGTAGCGGCGTCCACAAGTCGTCTTTGTGTACCGTATGTGCTGCAAACTCCACACTCACATCTCCAGTATGTGTTGACGCTTTTTTTGGCAGCAGAATGAATGTTAATGTATTGAAATAAGTCAACAGTTAAGATGGAAGAAAACCAGTATACATCACTGACGGTACCCACGGATTATTTTCAGCAGTGGTGAGTTGGTGCTGGAGGTGGCAGGTCGTAGAAAACTTCTCATGTTATCTCCCTGACGTCTTCATTTTCATGCATGAGATGGAGAGGGAAAAAAAGAAATAACATTTGACACACGACACCATACATCCTTGTATTCCTTGTATTTAGGCTTGTACCAAGTGGCAGTGTAGTTATTAAGGGTGATAACCATTTAACAATACTATCAATACTATCTATTTGATTAACTTGCAATAGTAACTTTGATGATATTGCATTATCTGTACTCTGTAGCTAGTTTGATAAATGTACATCATATTTCTTATTATCTGACTCGTTACTGAACAGTTATTACACTAGTTGCCACAGACATCATGCACACTCCTGCCGTGATGAACAGAACCATGCAAGAGGCTCTGGACCTGTAGTGGACTTCCTCTTCTTCCACCGTCACAGTTTGCACATTCATTCCATCGTGGTCGGTCTTCCCCGAGCGCACAGCAAAGTCGGTGTTGAACCGACCCGGATGCAATAAGTGTTGTACGTGTGAAAAAATAAAAAAGCAAGGAAAAGTACTCACAGAGCTGAATGAAATGCAGAGAATACAAACAGGTGTATATCAGCGCATGTGTGTTTGTAAGTATCGTGTCTTGTAAGGTTGCCTCCCCCACCCCATCGAGTACCAGACATAGTTTGTCCTTTCTTGCTTTGTCCAGGATCCTGTTTAATTGATTCTCCCTTGACCTTCCTCCTCATCTCGTCTTCGGTTGTGCACCCTCTGTTTTCTAGGTACCAGTCCAGCCAGCAGCACCCTGAGGCGCAGTATGTGATGTCTTATCACAACATGGGCCACTACGCAGAAGGGCCCAGAGATGACCTCGTAATGGCCGAGCTGTCTGTCCACCGGGAACCGTCCGTCTACCAGGAACCTTTTTACCAGAACTATAACCCCCCGACCCAAATACACTACCAGGACCTGAGCTACCAGCCGCACGCCAGGGAGCAGCAGCAGCAGGAGCAGCAGTATCCTGCTCACCTGCACCACCCTCAGCACCAACATACAATACAGCAACTAGAGCCGAGTGTTCAGTACCAACCTCAGCCGGCTGCCCCCTCCCAAGGTAGGGAAGAGGTTATTGATCCGAGTATTCAGCAAAGATACATTTTAACGTGGCAGCAGGGGATTTCTGTCCAAGTATCTCGAACGACCCACTACCAATTACAATGCATATATTGTTTATTACACCATTATTGTTACAACAAGTTTTACTTGTTTCAGTCAGAACAAGTTTCACTTTCCAACCCCACTTTCTCGTGTGCACTAAAATAAAAAAACAGCCTTATGTCACTATTACCTGTCGTAAATAACACATACCTGGTAAGGCAAGGAAGTGGCAAACAGCATTGATAGATATATTCATGCCTAAATCAACACTTTTGTACAAACTAATATCAAAGGGTTAAGAAGGCCACCATGCCAACATGATCCTACCCAATGTGAATGCAAGATTCAATGGCTCATAATCCTTTTGGGGTAATTTCTACATTTTCCTCCTCTCTGTCCTAGCTGCGATGCCGGTGAAGAAGAAGAGGGGCCGACCGCCGAAGCAGCCGGCCGAGGACGGCAAGACGCAGGACGGGGAGAATGAGGTCGAGGCCGCGAAGAAAGCCAAGAGGGCTCTCAACCGCTTCAACGGCATGTCGGTGGCTGAGGTTATGGCCAAAACCCTCCCCGACGTCATCACCTACAATCTCGACATTCTTATAGTGAGACTTTTTCATTTTTGCAAGTAGCGAATGGGTTTCAATTGTACAGAAAATATTTTGACACAAACAACATGTCATTTTCCCGTCTGTTTCCATGGCAACACCTCCATGCTTCTCCTCAGATTGGAATTAACCCAGGACTATTGTCAGCCTTCAAAGGACGCCATTATCCAAACCCGGGAACCATTTCTGTGAGTGGAAATCCTGTTTCACGATGCAAGAATTAAACCCGTTCTTCGCCTTCCATCATTACAAACAGCTCAGATCTGTTCAGACATATCATTTCAAATCCACGCAATGAGATTTTAAAGGTCCAGATATTTAAATGCATCTGAATTAAAAAATACGTTTTCTGAAACTATTTGTTTTGTGTGTAGCTGTGGAAATGTTTTTCAGCATTTGAACTCCAGTGATTCACTGCAACCAGCAGAGAATGAGCAGAAAGAACAGTTTTACAGGTTTTCTCAAAAGGAGACTCCGCTGAAAGGATTTACATAAACCTTTCTAAAGTGTAACATGACCACCATTGTTTCTTCTTTTTTTTTGCGCCCTATTTATTGTTGTTCTGATGAGGCCGGCGAACATTTTTTGATATACAATGTTTTAACATAAAAAAACACTGACCGTCTACCACAAAGTTATGCTTGAAAACGAACCGGCTGAAGTAATTCTGTAGAGTCAGCGAAGCAACAATAACCTAAAACCCCTCAAAATATTAAAACGCTGTTCTGGGTGTGACTAGCCGACCTGGCAAACTAAATGTTTGACTCCTTTCTTCTTTCCCCTCCAGGGAAATGTCTGTTTCTCTCCGGTCTAACTGACGAGCAGCTCAACTTCATGCACGACCAAAGTCTGCCGGAGAAATATAGTATCGGCTTCACCAACATGGTGGAGAGGACCACGCCCGGCAGCAAGGACCTCTCCAGGTGAATATCAAGAAAATTGCATTGAACTTCTAAGTTAATAGAAATTCAGCAGCATCGCAACAGTGGAATTCCAAAAAAGTCCCTGGAAACAAACATGGATAATGTTCTTCTGGTTCTGTTTTTTTGTCCCAGCAAGGAGATTCGAGAAGGAGGTCGACAGTTACTTGACA